TATTGGAATTGAGCAGAGCACTTTGGACTAATGCCTCTGACTATTTACAGCTTAGAGGTACATATCCAATATTTTGTCACAAACTTCTCTGTTACATAGCGGATCATAATGACCCCCAGTGTGGGTCTTCACACTTCGTTAAAAATTGAAAATCTCAAGATTCATTCTAAAGATCTCAATATTTTAGACGAAATCTTGAGATCTTATAAGACAATCTTGAGATTGTTCATGACAATCTCCAGATCTTTCAGAAAATCTTGAGATGAAAACAAAAGGTCTCAAGATCTTTCCAAGTGTTTTCAAAGTATCTTGAGATTTTTCCAAAGCATCTTGAGATGCTTTAAAAAATATCAAGATTGTTTAAAAGATCTCACGTTTTTTCAAGATTGCTTTAAAAATCTTGATATTTCTTAAAGCATCTCGAGATGCTATGGAAAAATCTCAAGATACTTTGAAAACATTTGGAAATATCTTGAGACCTTTTCTTTTCATCTTAAGATTTTCTGAAAGATCTGGAGATTGTCATAAAAAATCTCAATATTGTCTCATAAGATCGCAAGATTTCGTCTAAAATATTGAGATTTTTCAATTTTTAACGAAGCGTGAAGACCCCCACTGGGGGTCATTATGATCCGCTATGTAACAGAGAAGTTTTTGACAAAATATTGGATATGTACCTCTAAGCTGTAAATGGTCAGAGGCATTAGTCCAAAGTGCTCTGCTCATTCCAATAATAATCTGCTCGCTGTTTGTTATAATGTTGTCGTTGATATTTCTGTTGTTTTACGTTGTCGGATAAGTTTTTTTACTAAAAATAATCCATATCCCTTGGATAGGCGCTATCTCCGCACAGAGCTACAAAGGTTGCTACACGGCAAGTATTGGCCTCACCGCCAGCGGGACTTCTCAGGACATGGTCAACGCCGACTGTGTCGAACACTGTAGGACCCAGGGCAAGGCCTACTCAGGTACGTGCATTTTACTTAGCACTACCGGGAACGGAAGTATTGTTTTAGGGTGGCTCACTTGTTAGACTGTTGTGTTTCATGTTAGTCTAGTGACAGCTGCATGCAGGAGCCTGGGTAGTGGTTTTGAGAGTTGATTGAAAGGGGGGCCAAGTCTGAACTAGTACGCACCGAAGTGTCTAATACCTGATTGAATATTATACATACACCCCTTCCACAATGTCAGTGAAAATTAAGATCACCAGCATTGCAGATATTTAGCAAGTCAGTAAAAGCATGTACGCCAAAAAGTTGCTCTAGCAATTTGATGTGCTTATTTTGGAAACGGTACGCACCGAATTGAGCTCGAGCGTGAAAATTGTGTAATACCAGATTGAATTACATCATAAGCCCCTTACACAATGTCAGTGAAAACAAAATCACTAACATTGCAGATATTTATCAAGTCGGTAAAAGCACGGCACATGTACGCCAAAAAAGTTACTCAGGCAATTTTCGGAAACGGTCAGATGTTTCAGGTAGCATCCACTACCTCGGTGACATTTATGTCATATCCAGTCCCCCGAGTAACTGTTTTTTTGTGTGTGTATCCTATTACCTGAATGTTTAAACTTCACCAAAACTTCAAATGTGATATTTAATGTTATGTTATCCCTCCAACATAACAGCGACAGGCGAAGGGAAGCACTGTGTCTGTCTGACGGCAGCCGACATGCAAAACCTCAGCCCGGTCTCCGACTCACAGTGTGACGTCAGCTGCCCTGGAAAACTGACGGAAAAGTGCGGAGGAACTGACGAGACGGTCACCGTGTGGAGCACCGGACAAGGTATGATCATGTGACTATGACGTCATATCGAACGTCCGCCATGTTGGTTCGACGCGTACGAATTTCCTGTAACTAAAGTGGTGTAGACACTCCATTCTCTCTCGCTCTCTGTCTCTCTTCCACTGTATTCTGCATTCTAGTTCTGAAGATTGGAAGTGTATAACTGTCTCTATTTCGTAGCATGTATTTTTTGTACGGTAGTAGACGTAAAGATCATGAAGCGTATGAACTTTCTGTAAAGTGATGTAAACACTCCATTCTCCCTCGCTTTCTGTCTCCCTTCCACTGTATTCTGGACTCTAGTTCTGACGATTGGAAGTGTATAACTGTGTCTATTTCGTAGCATGTATCTTTTTGTACAGTAGTAAACGTTAAGATCAATGATCTTGGTCATATTAAGGAGGTTAACCTCCTTGGTCATATCGAACGTCCGCCACTTTGGTGGTGTAAATTTGTGAATTTAAAATTTGAAATCTATTTCAAGGATTCCATTCTATGTTTCAGTTCCGCAGATTGGAAAGTTATCATAACTGTGTGTGTCTATTTCTTAGTCTGTATTTTTCTTTGTACTGATGGCATACTTTCCGATTCATCCCTCCCTACAGTAAAGCGTGAGCTGGCAGCGAAGACAACTTCAGAGAACTTGAGTATGTGATTCAAAACAACTATATACGTGCTAAGACACTAATATCTGTAAGGCGTGACCAATATATGATGTTAAATAAATTGCATATCAGCATTATGCATTCTAAAGCTTGTTGATTTTGAACTAAGATTTTATGTAAATAAATCTTTTGAAACAAGTAAAATCTTTTCCTTTTTAATGTATTTTTAATAATAATTAAAATAATTATATAATTAAATTATTAATTTAATAATTTTAATAATATTTTTAAGTGTTAATGATAATTATATGTATATTAATAATGATTCATGATGATTGTAATAATTCATGATGATTGTAATAATTCATAATGATTGTAATAATTGTTTTAACATTACAATCATCATGAATTATGATATAAATTATGATATAAAAGCTATAAAAGTCCCAATATCCAGAAGATGCTTGCCGGACAGCATGTACATGTACATGTAGTACGATCATAACTTACCCGATCCACTGTCCTTTTTGACAGGAACGACCTCCACACAGAGCTACAAAGGCTGCTACACCACAAGTGATGGAACGCTCACCGCCAGTGGTCATGAGTCGTCTCTGCACATGACCAACCAGGACTGTGCCAAACACTGTGTGGCCCAGGGCAAGGCGTATTCTGGTAAGAGATCATTTATATAGATAAGTTTATTGAAAGTTCCTGTCCGTAGGCTAATTGCATGTACATGTAACATGGACGTAAAGAATGGACAATGGATAACGATTTATAGTATGTGACTACTCCAACTACCAAACAATAATTCTAACTTGTTGGGTTCTACTCCTTTTTCGAGACAATGGAAAAATGATCCCACTCTCTCTCTCTCTCTCTCTCTCTGAGTTTTGAATAAACATAAACATGTAAAAGTTGCCTCGCTAGTGACATTAGATAGTCACAGAAATTAGGTCTGTACAGGTAAGAGGTATGTAATCATCTTGTTAATACATTCCTTGTGTTGTCCCGTCAACAGCGACAGGAGAAGGCAAGCACTGTGTCTGTTTGGCGGACCTACAGAACCTCAGCCCAGTCTCCGACTCACAGTGTGACGTTAGCTGTACGGGAAAAGTGACGGAAAACTGCGGAGGAGTCGACGATGTCGTCACCGTCTGGAGCACCGGGCAAGGTATGATCACGTGACTATGACGTCATATCGAACGTCCGCCATGTTGGTGGAAGCGTGTGTAGATGTGAGATGTTTCAAGCGTTGTTCCCCCAGGTTACTATGCCTTCTTTCGACTTGTCACGGCGAACTCAAAGGCACTAGGCTGCAAATTTCGTCACAACGTAACAGACAAGTTAAATTCTACAACTGGATTAAAGAATACGTCACAGAGTCACATACGCCTCTCTTCTTCCGTACTTGATCGAAATGGCTGCGACTTCTTCATTTTTTAATTGTGAAGATAAAGAGTACTAATTTCATACATGTACCATATGACAAAGTTTCTTTCATCCTCCTCTGCAGGGAAGCGGCTGTTGACGTTGAAGATGTTGGTTGAGGCCATGAGAGACACCGAGTGATACATGTACAAACGTGACTGACACTAGCTACTAATGGGAGATTTGACAATACATCGAAGAGGAAGGGCCAGGCATAATGATGTGAACATTGTGTAACACATGTAAATTGCCATAGCTTAAAGATTTGAATGTTAACATGTGCAGTCATTTCTTCAGTTCTATACTCTAAATATCGATCAAATACAAGTAACAATGCGTTAGATGAAGGTCTAAATTGAATTGAATTATGTTGACTGGTCTATATTCGTGTTTCGTTACTGGTTTGACCAAGCCTTGCTATAGATTCGTGTTGTACATGTATTGGACATCATTAGTATTATCTTTGCTGGTATATATGTAAAACTCCTCATTTTTGTCTCGATTCTACAATTGAATAACTGTACATTTCATAGTGTGTGAAATGGTAATAAATCTGTTGTAATAAAGTTACACGAGTGTATGTGCGTATTTTTGTGAACGGAGTCAACTAGGAATAAAAACAGAAAATAAAAACGGTAGTCCATAACAGTCCTAAAACTGCCCCGCAACAAGTATGCCTTGGTTGTCCTTCGTTGCCGATGATGACTTCTACGTTGCACCCTCTCCTCATCTGCTGTGCATCCACATGCATGTTGCTCAGGAGTCCAAGGCCGTGTTTATGTGAAGTCACCCAAGGCGCTTTACATGTGGTTTACCCCGAAGCCGGTTTCAAGTGGCTCCATCTGAACGCTCCGAAATCACATTAAAAGCGCCTCGATCCCAAGCCACTTCTAGAGGTGGTTTCGAATCGGTTTTCCCGCATCGCGATTTGTGTCTGAACGCAATGTGATTTCAATGTGACTTGGTCATGGATTACGGGGTGATATTTCTTTATTTATATGCAATACCAACTTTTACGTGGCAGCAACTTAAAGAGCAGTAATGGTCAAATAATGTGTTCGTTCTAGGGCGAGCTTCACCGCCTCTGGCGGGATCACGTCGGCATTCGGCCGAGATACGCTGGGAGGGGGGCACCAGCAAGCAGGTTGTTGACCTCTGACATTAATAACACGCTACCTTGCGTGTTTTCATCAAACAACAATAAATGTAGCTCAAGCGAATTGTGATCGGACACGGTTTCAAAGGAATGTGTGGCACATGGACCAGATGTGAGGAATGTGAGCTACCCGAATCGCGGTTTGGGTGACTTCACATAAACACGGCCCGATTCTGGATCTGCAGGGTCGTCCGCACTGCTCGCAGCTGAACTGGAACGGACTCTGCTCCCTGGTCACTGCTGCCGCTGCTTTACGTCTGTGTGTAGCCTATTCAATGTTTGCAACAAGTATGCACAATTAGGCTAATTGTCCTCTAAATATTTCATGAGCCAGTATTGCTGCGTGCATCGTTGTCATTAAAACATCACACATTCAGCTGGAGAAATGTAAAAGGCGGTAAGGTGTAGCCACGAAATGGCCTCTGTTAGGCCGGGTGTGGGAGAAACTCAGAAAACAGGTCCATCCGCATTTTTATCTTGTAACCACAGATTGAGGTTGTCACAGTAACAAATACTCCACAGATTTGGGTTTAAACACAACTTTCTTCTACTTTTTATTTGATTTTCCCTCCTCCAGAAAAGTAAGTACATGCCCATTTGTACGATGCTAAGTATTAGACCGTCTTTAGTATAAAGTGAAATCGTCCGTTTCAGCTCTTTTGTGCATATTTGTTCACTACGGTATGTGCGTAAATCTTCCCTGTTACTAGTGAAACAGCGTACGAATAGTACGTACTTACAGAGCGTCTCTAATAAATGTAAACGTAAATATCGTCTGATTTTCAGTCATAGCACGATGAAAACGACGCTGGTTTTGCTTCTTGTCGTTCTGGTCATCTCGTCTGAGATGTTGACTGCAGACAGCTTCCTTAGGAATGGCAACAGTCGGAACCTGGGTGAGAACAGCATTTTTTTCATTCTTGAGAGAAACGTATACACAACATAGTCTGCTTGCAGATTAAAGCAAACTGCTTTTCTTCACCATCAAGTATGTGTGGGGTTGTCATTTAAGTACTTTTCTTAATTCTTGGAAGTATTTTGGTTGTAAGAAATAAAAAAAGGACTTAAGAAACGCTGAGTCATTTAATGGCGGCCATTGGTTGAAGTGTCCTCGACACGTACTCGGGACATAATTTGCCTGGCTTATCTAATGATGTTTACTCAACCAAAGAGGTTAAAATCTCCTTGACTTTTTTGACTCAACCTTGCATCAGAAAGACTATAATATATTATTACGTAAGTTTGACTTCTCGATACTGGCCCTGGCAACAGTCTGACACCCAGGGAAGCTTCTGAGCTCCAGACTAGCCTGGATGCCATACTGTTGTCAAGGGCAGTATACAGGCTAGCTCTTCGGCTTCAAGGCTAGCCTGGATGTCAGACTGTTGCCAGGGCCAGTATCGAGAAGTCGAACTTACTTAATAATATATTATAGTTTTTCTGATGCAAGGTTGAGTCAAGGAGGTTTAAACCTCTTTGGTTGAGTAAACATGGGGCGTATACTGACCCAGGCTCGCCCTGGA